TGGTAATACTGGGTTTTTCTATGCGGGGTCTGTCGAATATGTATATTTCCTTTCAGTTTTCTAAATTGAAAGACATCAGTGTGGATCAAAAAGTTGTGGTTTCTAACGGATTATATGTTAAAAACCTTTACTTATGTGAAAAAAAAACGAACAAACTGGTGATTGTCTTTAAACAGGAGCTATTATTTTTGCTTGAAAATTCACTGTTTCTGTTTCCTTCAGCTTTCAGTTCCGCTACGACATTACCGGTTGGACTCCGGTTGTTGGCTACATATCTGGTGAACCCCTCGAGTTGGAGCTTTCAGACGATGAAAGAATCATCCAGATCTCTGGAAAGTACGCTCACCACATTCAGTCGCTGATCTTTGTTACCAGTAAAGGCCGCTCCCTGCACGTCGGGCAGCCCTCAGGCCACTCCTTTAACATGTATCCTTCCCACCCAGACGCCGAGCTGCGCTTCCTTAGCGGCTGGGTCAACGGGGCTCCCTCTTCCCTCCAGGCCCATTGGGCTGTCCTTGACTCTGACATAACTGATGATTAATGAGCAATGATGAAGAAAGAGGAAATGAACAGGTTCTAAATCCAAAAAAGAATATTTCTTCTGTTTGGATAAAGAATAATTTAAGAATCATAGACATTATTGTCATTCTTTGATTGAAGTTTGTACTAAAATCCAGTAAAATAACATTACCTTCTTATCTCTTCACAAACGGTTAGTTAATCCTTTGTCTGTTAACATTTTAATCCAGCAAAGATAACAAAGATTCAGTAAAAAGATATGTGGAAATCAAATTGTACAAGAAATATTCCTCTGTACTTCCTTTTTTCTCAAATAAATGATGCTGTGGAGGGTAAGGGAATAATTCCATCTATAAAAATCCAAAATTACTTATTGTTTAGTAAAGTTAGCAGTTTGTTTCTTCTGTTTGAATGTTACAAATCATGATTTGATTTAACCAAAACAGAATAAAATGTTAAATAAACTTTTAACATCTAATATTTGGGCCTGTTTTTCCATTTTTTTAAAAGAGTTTACATGTATTTATTTTAAATGAACACTTAAATTTAGAAAATAACATGTTTTTTGATATCTTTTTGAATAGTTTGTCAGGTTCAACTATAGTATATTGCTAAAAACCGTACCTCTGGTAAAATAGAGTGCAGCAAGAAACAATAGCTTATCCTAGCTGAAAGAGTCTCATTATTTGTTATTGTTCTGATTTACACCCAATATAAAGAAACTGTGGATTATTGTCATGAGACCTGGCTTTCATACCCCCTCAGCAATCCAACAGGCTGATCATCTCCATCTCACTCTGCACTGATGCAGTCATTTATGCAATGATAGAGCATATCTTAAACAGTATACTATTCAGTATGTTAAATTTATGAGAAACTGAGATTCAGTTTTTTATTAGCTACAATCCCTGTCTTTAAAATGCAATGAAATCAATTTTGCAATCAATCACTGTGTAATCATTCTGATTCTCCAAAGGTTTCTCTCTGCCATTCCTTTTTCTTTGTGTTTTTCACAAACTACTCAAACTAATTTTTAACTGATTTTCAGTGATGTTTGAGAGAACAGCCTCTTTACTTTAATCACATTCACTTATTTTTGTTTGCTGCCTTTGTGCATTATCATACCATTATTTTTGTAAAGGTCTTCCTGTAGAGGTTCCTGTAAGTCCAAAGATGCTGATTATGCAAGGGAGTAAAATGTGGCATGGCCAGTTAGACTACATTGCAGGTTTAAAAAAAAAAATACAGCAGAAATTACTTCCCTCTTCTTCCTTTGTTCTATAACCCTAAAAAAAGATTTTTCTTTCTCCACGGTGTTGGATCCAAATCTGCGACTAAGAGGGAGAAGGAAGTTTTGTTGAGAAAAATAACTTAACGTTAAAAGGGAGTCAACATAAATAGAGTGAAACTGAATGTTAAAAAGTGTTGAGGGCAAAATGGCGACTGGACCAAAAAAAAAAAAATTATAGATACAGAGAGAGGGCTGATAGGTAAATAAAGAGCAGATAGAAAACTAACTTTAAAAATCAGTTTATTGTAGAAAATACTGGAGCTGTCTGCTTTTGAAAATAGTCTTTGGGTTTTTTTATTTCCCCCTAAAGCATCAATAAAATTAATATATTATCTCTGGTCAATCGCTGCTGATTGAATGTTTCAGCCTGTTAAAAGGGACTTTTTTCTTTTCACTGTCAACACATGCTTACTTGGTATAAAGAACCTCTGCAAAGTGAATCACTCAAAGCAATCACTGTCAGTACATTGTAATCCTTAGAGGGATTGCTGTAAAATGGATGATTAATTGCTATTAGCTGTGTTTCCTTAGAAAGAAAACGTTTTAAACCATTTTCTGAAATTATTTCTCAACATTATTACTTGAGTGTAAGTAATTAGCTTTAGGTCTGCGCATGATTGAACAGAATAGTTGTACTGTTCGTTTTTCATGTTCTCAGATGTAATTTGTTACATATTGGCATCATATGTATAAACTAAATTCTTTGCTGTTGTACAAATAATCCACTGACAATATATTTGCTCAACAGCATGTGTGCTGCTTGATGATTGCAAAGCCGCTTTTTTTCACCAAGCAATATAACGCAGCTGAGCTTATTACAAATATATCTTTAAAAGCCGAAAATATGTTTTAGACAACAGCTGCCGTTGATGATATGTCTGTGTGTGGTGGCTAATGGAAAACTGACTGCAGCAGCAGGAATTGCTTTGCCTAACGATCCCCTTAAGGCTGCCGTCAACCTCACTGATTCATGTCTTTCTAGAATAAATTTACATTTCTCCTTCCTTTGTTATTGTTCAGTACAACATCCTGTTACAACCAACTTCTTTATACCATATATTAGATTTCTTTCCCTCCTTGTGATTCTTGAAAGTCAGCAATCAACCCATTTTAGTCTTAAATATCCCATCCTTTTTAAGTTACATATATCTTTATATTTTCTATGAACACATAAGTTTCACTATTTGAATTTTTTTCCTAAAACAAACTCTATATAATATTGTTATATATTGAGTCCTGAAGTATTTGTTTCATGCATAAATCTACAGCTACTTCATTTATATGGTGGACATTGATTGCTCACCATTGGCAGCAATCTGCAATGTCATTTTAATACAAAACCTTTTGGTCACGTAAACATAGCTACTTTCCTACAAAATTATTTGATTAAATAAAATCTCAGGTGTGAGATTTGTGTTGACCATCATGTAGATCAATCCTGTGACCTGTAGATTACTCAAGCTGTCTCCTATGTGACCTCATATTTTGGCGCGTTGAAAATGACATCGATGGCTTTTAAATCTGGACGTATAGAAGGAGGATAAGCTACTGTGTTGTGTGGTATTAATTTATACAGACACATTTTGTTCCTTTGACTCCTTTAGGTTTAAATTTTGTGTCGTTAAGCTTAGTGGACAGCAGATGGGTTTAGAGAATACACTTCAATGCTGCAAGTGCACAACCCATGTGAACCAACAGCTCATTCTGTGTGTTACGACCTGGCTCGACTGGTCGCAACAAAAACTGGGGGGACACGGAAACAGGCAGTGCTTTAAGCCTGTAAAAGGCATTTATTTAGCAGAATCAAAGAATAAACTATGTGTTGGCATCAGACGGCAGCTCGGATGGGGCGATCACGCCTGGTCCCTCCACACCAGGAAGTCTGGACCCCAACCTGGTCTGGACTGGATGGCTGTCTGCGGCGTGCTTGCTTCAACCAGGGAACACCAACACTCCTAAATGGAACAGCGCTCCAACCAGGTGGCTGCATAATGGAAGCGCCTTCCACTTAGAGAACCTTTATTGATAGTGTTAGTTTAGGCAGTTTACACATCACCCGACAGCACAGCAGGGCCGTCACACTGTGCAACAAGAGAACCTAATTATTTCAGGAAAATTTATCTCTCATTAAATTAATTTAAATGAGTTCCTGAATATCTTCTTGAACATAAAGTCACAGCTGTTTTTGTTCATTTATACTTTGAGATCCCATTTTAAATTTTAAGATACCTGCACTGGTAAGCACAATTAAATGGATTCATAAGTGAAGTTTCATTAAACATGTCGAATCAACAATATGTGATTAGACAGATCAAACAGAGACAAGTTATTTTTGTATTCAGTAAATATATCTAAACAATATTACAAGGCAAGGCAAGGCAAGGCAAATTTATTTATATAGCACAATTCAGTACAAAGACAATGCAAAGTGCTTTACATGATTAAAATATAGGAAAATAAAACAGAAACAGAGCAAGTAGAAGAAAAAATAAATAATAATAAAAAAATGCAGAAACAAGAAAGAACATTAAAAGCAGTTGGACTAAAGAAAAAAAAATGAACTAATGATGTTTTAGTACACAGTATCACATGACATGAAAAGATAGTGTTAAATTAACTAAAGATGCTTAAATAGATCCAACAGCTGCTTCTTTAGTGAGCATCAATGTTATCCCAGGTCAGAAAGAAGCTGCATTTATATCAGAGTTTCGCTCTTTAAACCTTGCTCACAGCATTCATACCTATTTTGCAAGGTTATAACTTTCAAGCAGTTGAACTTCCAATACACCAACACTTTTAAGTCTCACCTGTGATAATTTCAGGCTCGCTGGTGTCCTCTCCTGGTGGATGAACTCTAAGCTGTTTTTTTTTTGTTTTTTTTTTTTGTTAACTGGTGCTTAACTTGTTACTTGTTCTGAGCCAGAAACAATTGACAACAGTATATGTAGCTAATTGTAGAATGTATATCCTATTAGAGCACTTTAAGAAGTAAACTTGTTACTGTTCCTTCAAACTTTTAAAGGGAAATTTCATACATTACGGGATGTGAGGCGACATACCTTCATACCTTCCTCTCATCAGATTGGCAGTAAGCCAGCTCTGACACTGGACAAACACTCTGCATATACCTGCCTGTGTCAACCAATGAGAGACAGTAAATTACCATAGAAAAAAAAAGATGCAGATAGTGCTGAGATAAGCAGTATAAAGGCGCAGGAACCTTTTGAACATGTGAGATGAGGACACTACTGACTGAGGAAAGAGCTGCTCATAGAGGGGGCCGATTTAAAGCCATACCTTTTGTGTGGGACAATTTTTAAGCATTTGTAAGTATGTTCATTTGCACTTATTGTTTATGGAGAGGTTTTTTATGAACCAAATGTGATCATTTTAAGATATTAAAGTGTGGTATCTGTTTCTTTCAGTTTCTTCCATCTACCAGACAGGTTAGAATAATTCCCCATTAATGTTTTTAGTTCATGCAATAATATATTAGGCGTACATAAAGTAAAGGAATAAGTTTGAGCTTATTGTTTAATTGCTTCACAGAATGCATTACATCGCCATATTTGCACTGCTGGTTGCTTGTGTTTTTGCAGAGGGTAAGAGTTCACTTTACATGCTTTATAGAGCTTTTTTTACAGCTATTTATTTATAAATCTCTTGTGTTTTCAGAGTCCCATTACTCGTTTTCACCATCTGTTGGATCAGGAAGTGGCACCTCATACAGTATAACTGGTGAGGGAAGAATCACAGCTATCAGAGTCTGGGAGCTCTATGGCAACCACATCTACGGGTAATTTTTTTTTTTATTTACATTACAACGCCTGCTAAACATCAGAGCCATGATTCCTACCAATTCAAAGGCATCTGGAGCTACAAAATAAAGTTTCCATCAAATAAAAGCATAACTGAACGGTTTTCATGTGAACTAGAATTACAACAGTTTATTTTTTTACTCATATTTATCTAATTAGTTTGATGGAAATTTACCAAAATAACATACATGTCTTTATAAATATATACTAGAATTCTAAATTTAGCATTTGTTTTTAAATTTACTTATGAAAACATTAGTCGGATCTTAATAATATTTAGCCTAAGACATTAAGAGCAACCATGTCCAAAGAGCAACTAGTGTGCTAGATCCCTGCCATATTAGTATATTAAAACTTTTCCTATTTTCTTTAATAATTTCTGTATGTAAAATCTTTAGACATTAACAAACAGAACCCTCTTCTCCTGGATGAGCAAGTCGGAGCAGTGGATAGTTGCTTTTATCATAACGTTTTCAGGATTCCCCACAACAATCATACATTACCTGCAACAACAGCTAAGAGGAAAACTTCCTTTTTCCATTTCTTGTACTTTATGAGATGCCAAAGAGGCCATTGCCTTTTGTAAAAAAAAGTTTATATTTTGTTTTAAAAAACAGAATAAAGAAACTGCTATATGTCAGTTTTGCAGTTATATTTGAGGTTTTCATGTTATGAAAGAAGTAAATATTTGAAATAGTTTGTAAATATAGATACGGCTTAAATTTTTATTATACTTGAAAACAATTAAAAATACATAGCCTTGCTTCTTATGATTATAAGATTAAAGAAGCCCGATGTATCAAAAATAATTGAAACATTTTAGAAAAACAGGTGATGATACAAAAGCTGTTTTATTTTTGTTAAACACATTGAAGTATTGAAGTAGTATTGAAGCAGTGAAGTATCTGATCACTATTTTAATTTGATCTATTTCTGTTTTAGAATGTTATAAAAGCTTTTTTTTTATTCATATTAACTTCCTGTGATTATGATTTTCACTTTGAATTTAAGCTTAATTTGATAAAATGTTGGCATACATCTGAGATATGTTTCTTTGAACTTATCTTAGACTTAGAAAAACACAGATTCATCATGTTTTTCTTTCAAATGAAGGGTTTCATATTTGAAACATTATTCAGTTTTTATCTTTATCCTTTTAAAACATTTTTGAAGTGAAACTATAATATATTTCCCAATATTATGGTTGAGGAAAGTTCTAATTTTGATGAAAAACATGAAGTGCTGCAAAACAAAGAGTAAATCTTAATGAGTCATTTTTTTTCTTGAATTGAGGAGGTAAGTGAAACACTTTGCTGATGGAACAAGACAATTTACACTTAAGATAAAAAATAATTGCATTTTCTTAATTCAAGTGCATTTTATCTAATTATTTTTGTTTTAAGAGTAAAGATCCTCATACCATTGGCAAATCATCTTATTTTCCCACGTTAAAGGTGAATACACTTAATTTTAAGACATTTTTACTTATTTCTAGATCACTTCTGCAGTTCAGCTGGTGTGCATGCTATGTGCTGCACCTTCTGAAGCTTAATACAAGATACAATTAGGAGTAATTTCTATGTTTTCAAAGGTGAACATACTTTATTAGCAGACATACATATTCTAATTGTTTTCACTTTTATATCACATTTAAGACATCATCCTTTAATTTCATGAAGAATCAGTAGCATTAGCATTATTGGCCTGTGACACTTTGTATGCATTATACACACTTTGCAAACCTTTATTATTTTTCAGTGAGTAAAAGTAAATCAGTCTTTTAAAAGATGTTTGTATTCTTCTCTTTTACCTCAGGATCCAGGTACGCTACGGATCCATTTGGTCCGAGGTTGCTGGCTACACATACAGCAATCCCATAGAGTTTGAGTTATTCAATGATGAAAGAATCATCCAGATCTCCGGAAAATATGCTCACTACATTCAGTCAATGATCATTGTCACCAACAAGGGTCGCTCACTGTTCGTGGGCCAGCCCTCAGGCCATTCCTTTAACATGTATGCCACCCACCCGGACGCTGAGCTGCGCTTCCTCAGTGGCAGATATCATGGAGGCCTCAGCGCCTTCCAGGCCCACTGGGCTATACTGGACGACACCGAGGATTGGTGATTTAAATAATGCACTGTGCTCTCTCCTTTAATCCCTTTACTAAATCAGAATGTGATTCTATTGGTTTTTGTCTCTTTTTAAGCATTTATAAGAGCGCTAACTAAGTAGGTGTGGAATAATTTGCTAATTTAAACCGATTTCTATTCTTGCTGTTTTATCTAAAGTTTAATTATGTAGCACTTATTTTAAGACAGTCACTGTCTTTGTGCACTTTTGATTAAAAGACAGTTGTCAGCGAGATAAAAATCAGGTAACTGTTTTTGTTATTATGTAGAAATTTAAATTGTTATACAGATTAATAAAGATTTGTGACATCATTAATTTTGTGTTTTTATATTCTTTATTTTGAGAAAGCTGGAAAATGTACATTTTTAACTAGACAATGCTTTTTTTCTTGATTTCAAGAAAAGAATGGGCAATATGTATTCTGAAAAAGTCTTATTTTGTACATGGGGATAGTGTACCAGATACCCTTTTTTTGGCTGGTGTTAGACTTTGCCAACTTTAGTTGTGTGAAGATTCTCAGTCATCCTAGTAGCAGTCATTCCAAAAAAGTCCAAAAACAATTCACTGGACTTTTTTCCCCCCAATTTTGAAGACATTTCGCTTCCCACCCGGGAAGCTTTTGTAGTTCAAAATGTCAGAAATAGCACTGAGTTAAAGGCTTTATACAGTAGCCCAACAAAGCCAGTGTCCAGTGGATTTTTCTTTTTTTTTTTCTTACTTTTTTGGATAAACTGCCTTTAGTTCTGTGCCAGGATTCACCAGCAGGGGGCTTCAAAGTGTGCTGGAATTCAAATAAAAAAATTATCCTTGTTTATCTTTTGAACATTCATTTAAGAAATTTAGAATAGGTTCTGTTAAATTAATGAATATAGTACTTATTCACTTGTGTAACAATTATAGATGGTCAAAATATATATTTTTCTTTTTTAAGTCATTAACCCTCAGACAAACCTTTTCAGGGAAGATTGAGCCCCTTTTTTCTTAATGTGTACTTTTATCTAAATCTCGAGGTATTTTACAGCCCAGTGTGTTCCAATTACTGTTCACAAAATACATAATAAATTAATAAAATGCGACAAGACATACAGACAAATTCTAACTCCTACTGTCCCGTTTGTTGTGGTTATAACACGATGCAATCAAGATTGCTAGCGTGCTACCTGCTAAAAGCCCAGTGGATGGCAATTTTAATCTGACTTTAATCCCTTCACCTAAGTGAATATACTGTATGGTGACAATTAGAGACTGAAATAAACTGAATTTAAATTCTACCAATTGCAATCAATGTAGAATAAATATAAAAATATATAAAAGAATTTTGTATGGTTTGTCAACACAGCTTGTCAAATTCCAGTTTGCCTTCTTATCATTTATTTTCAACAATGGCTTCCTCTTTAGATGTCTCCCATCAAGTCCAGTTGGGCATACTGACAAAAGCAATGCTGCAATACATCAACACCCTCTGGCTATCAACAAGCAGGCAAGGCAGGAGAAATGCCTTAACAGAGCAGGGGATCAAACTTTAAACCCACTGATAACAGGTTAAAGAAATGTACGTCTCAGAAAACACAAATATTACATTAGATCTTTGAAGATTTTGTTACAAAACAGAAAAATCTGGGTTCTACAAAGAAAGTTTATTTCCAGATTTATCCACCTTTGGATGCTCTTAGGCTGCATGAAGTCTAATGGAGAGAAAAGGGAATGTAGAGAATGAACACCATGAGTGGGAATCACTGCTTAAATATAACCCCAGAACAGTAATACTTCCTCATTGTCACACGGGTTATCTTTTTATCTCGACCTGAAATGCCCTTTGTCCTTCTCTGGCTCACACGACTGCAGACGGTGACAAAGAGCTTGTGAAAAAAACAGATTTGTTTTAACACTTGGTTTTGTTTACTTGACTCTCAGCAGGAATACCTGCACTGCCTGTCTTTCCTTATAATAGTCTGAGCTGTGCTTCCCCTTGCATTCACTTGAACCGTGTGCTGTTGTTGGCTCATATTCAAAAACAAAAAATATTTTATCAAGAAAAGAATTTCCCCATTTTTTTCTTCCTTTTGCTAGTTTAAGACACTAAGGACACACCTTTTGGGGAAAGGTGCACAGGGACTACATGTCATACTAAAGCCTTTTGGTATGCAACCATTCAAACAGGTGGGTTGCTCAACCTGTTGTACTGTATCTCTCCCTCACACTATAGGTATGCGCTGCTGATAGAGAATGCTGATAAGTACTGCCGAGTGTACACCATGCTGAATTTCCGGCTTTTTATTGTAAATGTTGGTTGATTTATCAAATTGTGTTTGCATGAAACAAAATACTTAAAATGCTCTAAGATAGAAATCTGTGAAATGATATGAAAGAATCTGTGAAAATAACCTTAAAATTTTCCAATACTACAAATAAAGGTTTTCGGTCTGGCAAGACTGTTAAATAGTCCAGAGAAACTGAAAACATCTGAGAAAGACAAAAAAGTACAATTTATGCTACTTTTTTAACTGCTGTGTTTTTGAAAACACAAAGAATGAAATAAAATAATAGGAAATTTCATGTGAACAGTTTGTGCATGTGGTGACCTCTGTGCGTCATGTGATTTAACGACTTGTAATTGTGAGAAAAGATTTATGAGTAACATTTGATTTCAGTGAAGCTTCATTAGCAGCCATGCTGCAGGATCTACCTCATAAAAGTAACACTAGCCCTGTCATGCAGGCGGGCTGTTTGTGAGGAGTGTGCAAACAAGAACAATAAAAACATATAATGAATATTTACTATGTTCTGCACCAAATGCTGTGAAGCCACTGTTCTATAAAATGTGGACTCATCTGCCAAGCAATTCTTTGCCTCATTCCTTATGAAATGATCTCTGAACACTGTATTCTTAACAAAGACTCATATTGTCCCATAGAATATATGTCACAATGTTCTTAATTAGGGAAATGTATCCATATGTTTTAGAGAATAAACATTTTGCCTCAACAACATCAATTTATTTATACAGCTCATTTACTGTTATCCATCCATTCATCTTCTTCTGCTTATTCGGGGTCAGGTCGCGGGGGTACAGCTTCAGTGTTGAGATCCAGACGTCCCTCTCCCAAGCCACTTGGGCCAGCTCCTCTGGGGGAGTCCCAAGCGCTCCCAGGCCAGCCGAGAGACTTAGTCCCTCCAGCGTGTCCTGGGTCTCCCCCTGGGCGTCCTCCTGGTGGGACTTGCCTGGAACACCTCTCCAGTGAGACGTCCAGGAGGCATGATAAACAGATGCCCAAGCCACCTCAACTGGCTCCTCTCGATCTGAAGGAGCAGCGGCTCTACTGTGAGTCCTCCCCCGATGACTGAGCTCCTCACCCTATCTCTAAGGGCCCAGACACACTATGGAGAAAACTCATTTCAGCCGCTTCTCATTCTTTCGGTCATGACCCAAAGCTCATGACCATAGATGAGGGTAGGAACGTAGATGGACCGGTAAATTGAGAGCTTTGCTTTTTGGCTCAGCTCTCTCTTCACCACAACAGACCAGTACAGGGCACGCTTCACAGCAGATGCCGCACCAATCTGCCTATCGATCTCGTGCTCCATCTTCCCCTAATCCGTGTGATGGGTGGCAGTCGAGGGTGGAGACATTGGCCTTCTGATCCGCGGTTAAAAAAACTGGCTCTGGGGACATGGAACGTCATTTACTGTTAATCTTTTAGAAATATTTTTTTCTTTCCATGGCCTTTTAAAGGGTGAGGAGCTCAGTCATCCAAGTAGGAATTAGAGTAGAGCCGCTGCTCCCCCTCATATACTGCTGTATATAAAATAAATGTTTATTCAAGCTCAATACCCTTTAAAAAAATAAACAAAACCATACTTTTTGTAATGCCTCACACTATTTCACTCTCAGTCAAGTTGTTTAGGATATATAGGACTCATGCTTAGGTATTTTTCATTCTTACCTGACCATTGTCATTCTTTTATGATGCACCTTTCACAACTGAAAGCACTCTCTGACATGTTCATTTTAATCTACTTCAACAACTTGCTTATTTGCTTCTCCCACTCATGTCTGTATTTTGCAAGCACTTTTTCTGAGGAAACTGCTCTAACTAACCACAGATGGCACAAAGGAGTATTGCTTATATGTATATAAAAAAAAAAAACTGTTTTCTCACCCCTCGTGGGGTGGTAT